TATATATACATGTAATATATATATAATATATATATATATATATATATATATATAGTATATATATATATATTATATAGTATATATATATATATATATATATATATATATTATGTACAGCGAACGCACATAACACACACACTCAACACACATACTCTCATACAAGCATACGCACACACACACACACACACACACACACACACACACACACACACAACACACACACAACCACACACACACACACACAACACACACACACACACTCATAAACACACGCGCACACACATAAACAAACGCGCTTAACCCCTATATGTCGTTAAGGTTGTAATCCCATAAGTTAGGAGGCAAAGTTAGACCATAAAGTACGGCGTTATTAAATGGCATTAGAAGAGAAGGGGAGATGGCTATAGTGTCGTGTGCCAAGCGAGAGAAAACCCATTAAATCAATCTATTAATGGGTTTTTAGGAATGATGATAATAGTATAATTCTATTAATGGTAGGGTGACAGTAATAATTCTGTTAATGGGCAGAGTAACAGTAATTACTCTATTAATGGGTAGGGTGACAGTAATTACTCTATTAATGGGTAGTAAGGAGAACCGATACATACGTTAATGGATAGGCATGTAGTAACAGCTCTATTAATGGGTAAGGTGATAATAATAACTCCATGAATGGGTTGTGAAAAGTACTGATGACTACTTAAATGGGTGGGGGAGATAGTAATAACTCTATTAATGGGTACGGTGATGAATAATAACTACATTAATGGTTAGAGAGAGAGAAATAACTACATCAGCGGGTAGGTTGAAGATAACATATCCATTGATGGTTACTGAGGAGTGCGGATAGCTGCAGTAATGGGTAGGGAGATAGTAATAACTCTATAAATGGGTTCGGTGACAGTAATAACTCCATTAGCGGGTTGTGGTTAGGAAGATAAATACATTAGTAGTTAGGGAGATGAAGATGACTTAATTAATGGTTAGCGTAACAGTAATATCTCCGTTAATGGGTAATAAGGAGTACTAATAGATATTAAGAAAGCTATGGAAATCGAATGATACCATTAATGGGTTGGGTGAAGATAAAAAACCCATTAATGGTTGCTGAGGTATACTTATTGTTATAATGGTGATTAGGGAGAGGAAAAGAAATATTAATGGGTAAGGTTGTCGGATAACTTAATTAATGTGAATAAGGACTACTGAAAACTACATAAATGGCTAGTAGATAATACTAACTACATAATGGTTGGGAAGTATAATGATATTGAAATATTAATGGTCATTGTGGAATACTAATAACTTCAATAGCGGTCGTGAGAAGTATTGAATAAATATTCATTAATTGGTAGGGAAATAATGGTAATAAATCCATTAATGCTTAGAAATCAATGTTGATAATCCATTAATGGTTAGGGAGAAGTATTACTATTTACTGATAGGTAGGGAGACCGTAATAATTAATGGCTATTGAGAAATACTAGAAAGTACATTAACAGTTAGGAAGATTCAATATTGACGGTCATTAATGGGCAGGTGGGCAATAATAACTTAATTAATGGATAGAGTAAAACAGTTAAGATCATTAATGGTTATTGAAAAACGCTGATAACTAATGGTGGGGGGAGGCTGTAACATTTTTAATGGTTGGAGAAAAATATTTATAATCCATTTGGGAAAGGACATATTGATGATTCCATTAATGGCTAGATAGCAGTCCTATTACGTTCAGGATTCCATTAATGAAGGTTTGAACAGCTCCATTAACTGTTAATGAATTATATCAAGAACTCTATGATAATTAATAGTAATGATAATGGTAATAGTAGCTTTATTAATGTTAGCAACAACATTCATAACCATTTATTGCTAGCTTGTGATAATTAGTAATTCCATTAACAGTTCATTAATAGATAATTATCGTAATAGGGTTGTTATTTAACACTCATAAAGAGATATTTCTTTTCGATGTTATTTGTGTTTTATTTGTCGTTTATCTTATTTTCTATTCTTTTTCTCTTTTTCTTTCTTTTTTTTTTCTTTTTGTAGTTTGTACGTATGTTTCATGATTTTTTCAGACGTTTTTATTCATCGTGTTTATTTCTGTTTTGTTTGTTTGTGATTTTTTTTCCTTGTCGGTTTTCACGATTTATCAAATTGTGGCTTATGTCTCCTCTTCTCCTTTTTTGGTTTCCATTTTTTTTTTTTATCGTTCTATCCTTTTCATTCTTTTCTTATATTTGTTTATGATTTCTTTTATTTTCTTTCCTTTTATTATATATTCTTTTTTTTTTTTGCTTTCTTAATTGCTATTATTTGTATGTGCATTTTGATCGCTAGTTTTATTCTGATTTTCATTTCCCACAATTTTCTGTTTTTTTTTTCTTCTTCTTCAATTGATTTAAATATCACTTTTACTTTTTCAGATTTGTTGGTATGAATATCATTATTTCTCATTGTTGCTATTATCATCATTATTGTTATTACTATTATTATT